TTTATTGCTTCCGATCCAACTTTTTTTTCCCGTATTTTTATTTCTTAAGAGAAAAAAGGAGGGAAGCTCATCACAACGTGCCATCATCCCACATGGAACGCGGACCTGCTTTTGCCCGAGGTGTAAAACTGAAAGTTTCCAGCTTGTTTATATGAAAATGTGCAGCCATTGAAACCATTCTTGCCTGTAGTTATGTAGGTCTTGTGCTGCTGGTATGGCTCACTTATTCCCTTAACTGACTCTCTTTGTATGTATGTCAGGGAACTGAGTTTGAATACGGAAAAAAAGCCAAAAGGGTCCTTTTTTTGAAGGGATTAAGTTATTTTAAGATTAAAACATCCCCAGTCGTATTGATGTCGACGCAACGATTGGGTTTGCATTTTATGAGTCTATACTTGGGTGTTTGAGAAGAGGAAAAGACCCCTCAGGATCATTGTCGGACTCACAAAAATTCATGAAGTTTGCCTTTTCAGGCACAGGTTGTTTGTGAATATATTTTGTTTTTATCCATATATGAATTTGCGATATTTGCTTTAGCTGTTTCCAGATTTTAGCTGGAGGCTCGAGCTGAACCATGTCTCACAGGGCTAGCTGAGGCTTTTGATAATAACTTGAGCAAATTTAGAAATACTAATTATCATTAAGCTGTGGGGGACACTGGAGGCACGAGAACATGCAAACACCCCACAGAGCCAAAGTGCAAACCAGGAATCTCAGCCAAAGAGAACATGAAGCGCTAATCACTCCACCACATTTTGTCTCATTTTTGTCAGTGTTTCTATTTAATATGACTGTTTTTTTAGGTACTGAATATAAATAAGACAGAATAGAGGATAGAGCAATCAATCATCAATATGGTTCCACCACAACCAGCGGGGAGGTTAATCCTCTCTCTGCGAGATCCTCATGCGGTCCAAAGTGAGCTAAAGATGCTGAGTTGAACAGCAGGAGATGCTCCGAATCAAACAAATATCATCCTTATGCAGTTATTGTGCAAACACCTCATTCTAATGCTGCTCATGTAGAGTGAAAAACACAAAAAGGGATCCAAAATGCAAGCGTACGTCCATCAGATATGCATAATGATAAAGGTACAAACTCATTTATAATTAACACTTGAAATCCCAGATGAAAACATTGCAACTCAGACAATTAGTTGGAGCAGTAGCCCTACCTTTGAATTAAAACGATTACTGTATAAACTAGGAACTTGTAGAGGAACTGCATATTATTTTAATTTCAGCCTTATGTAGATTAAAAAAAAGATTGAAAAATCACACATACAGTAACTCTAAAACAGAGAACCTGGTGCAGTGTGTCGACATGACTAATGAGCGAGTCATATTTATTTTTTCTTTTTGCTAGAAGGCAGAGCTCGGCAGGAGTGTTTGTTTATGTGAGCGTTCGGTGGTACGTGATGCATATCTGCATCCTGCGGAGCCTGAAACAGACTCAAAACAGTTGTTCGGCGCTTTTGAAGTGGGGCTTCTGTGAAAAATTTATGAAAAACTCATATTTCCTGATGTTGATAGTAGGGATGGGCAGTACATTTTGAACATATAAATAAGTCCAAGATGTTTGATAATGGCACTTTATTCAATGTGGCCTCTACTTGTTGTGTCCCAGGGTCTTTACCTGCCGCTGTAGTATAGTTTGAAAGGATTATACAGTGGAAACTTTGGTGAGCTCAGCTTTACTGCTAGAATATGTTTATACCCCATTTGGGTAAATACATTGGACTGGTGAAAATGAAAGAATATAAAGGGTTCAAGCTATAGGATTAAGAAATGGTAGCACTTCATGCAGGAATATGCTTCTGTCAGAATAACCCGTACAAAACATATAGTGGTGGATAGGTTTCTAGAATTGCAATTACAGAAACCATAATGAAATCTTTGGAAATTGGAATTGGTTTAAGACCACAGCTGACCTCTTTGGTTGGAACATGAAGAGGATGAACCATTGGCTTCTCCCAGGTGTGAGCCAGATGTGGGGTTGAGCTAGCTGGYGGCATGGTARGTGGTTTGTCAACCTGTTGTGGGCCAGGTCTGATAATGATGACACTGTTTTTAGATTGCCACACCTGACCTGACTGTGGTTTGGTTTAAGTGGTGCTGACCCATGCATGGGACCACCTCTGGTAAACCACATCACAAAACGGCCATCATTCTTTGTAGTATCTGGGCCGTTCGTGGTATCTGCATTGTGTGGCCCAGAACTAGATTGTCAGTCTGGTCAGAATTAAACTCTACTTYCTCAGAACTGAGGTCATTTAAGAAGCAACAAGATATTAAACCTTCCTAACTTTTCCACCCCCARCCTGGCTTCAAAAAGATCTGAGATACCCCGTTAAATGAAGTGGCTACCCACTGCTCTCCTCCACACRTATGAGCGAGAGGGAATAAAAGCGAGGAGAGCCGATGACATGCATGCTAATGAACTACTCTCAGTAAAYCCTCTGAAGAGAACAGGAAGACACGGGCTGGACAAGAACCTTGGCGCTGTGGTTAAAACCAGCCCGGAATGTCACGTTTCCTGTTTATCCAGCATGCCAGGCACAATCTTGTTATGTGGAATCCTGCAAAACAGCCATAGGGGTATTTTAGCAAAGATGAAAAAGCATGCAGAGTTGACAGATTGATTAACTCAACACGCTCGAGCTCGATTTTTCAAAGATACAAGAAAGTTTGATGGTGAATACGCTTTGCATGCTGTTGCACCAGGTTCCCCTGCTGGACACCAAAAGCTTTCGGCGAAAGACGTCCGCTGAATATTAAAACAAGCACACACCAGAAGAGCGCAGGAAAACAAAGGAAGGATGTGAAGAAGCGTGGTTTCCCATGCCATCCGCCTCCTTTAAAGCAAAAGCAGCGACCAGAGTGACAGTGATGCTCCGGAGCCACTGAAACATGACTCCGCAAAAATTCRCAAAGTCAGATCATGAGTCCAGAACTTCAGGCACATCGAGAGCTTTCGGATAGTTTCTGTTAAGCTATCTGTACCAGTAAAACACACAATGAGCAGGCCTGTGTGTGGGCAAAGAGGTGAGAAACATTTGTCTGTTTCTCTGTGTGTATGTGTGTGTGTGTGTGTTCCAGTGAAAGTGATTTGTCACCACCAACTGCTCATGGTTTAATAGCAATATTGCAACACGAACTGTACGCGGAAATTGGTCAACAGGCCTGCTTCCTGTCTCGCTGAGTCAGGGACAATCGCACAAGGATGGTGGCATGTTTAAATAATCGTGTCTTTGCAGGCAGCAGCTCCGGGGAGACAAAGCAGCAGCTGGGGATCGATGTAAGGGTCTCACACATGCCAAGGAAGGGAAGGGAGGGTCAAAAACCATAAAAGGACTGAGTCAAGGGGACAAGGTATTGATGTTTTTCATTTGGCACAGCTTAAAAAGCTATTCTAAGAAAAATCCAGGTGTGTGGTGAAGAATTTAAACATAAACTTGGGAGCTTTGCCTAAATAAATATGACATCAAACATTGAGGCAGAAGACATCTTTGTGAGCTGCGGAGGAGATCACATGTGGTTTCACAATTGTTCTGTTCTTCCTCTTTTTCTCCAGCTGATTGAGCGCAAAGAAGTAACAATGCTGTACGTTGGCAAAAAAATGGGCAATACCAACAGCAGGGCGTGGGGTATTATGCAAAATTGACTTTTATGAAGAGCGTTATATCATGTTATAAMGTTTCCTCATCAAAAACATGGTGTTACTTTTACTCATTTTTGCATGTTGGATAAATCTTTGAATCACGTGGTAGCCATGTGGAGTTGCTGCTGGTACAAAGCTCCACCTATTTGCACAAAGCTCCTCCCTGCAGCTGAGTTTGAAGCTGAGCTCCTGCCCCACAGAACGCATTGTTGTGAAGATGTGCTGAAGTAGGAGTGTAGGAAATGGTAGGAGGTTCTTAAAAAGACAGAGGCTAATTTCAAGGCGTCTAGATGGACTATGATGCAAAGTCAAACTTAACATACTTTAGTGTGCAAGGCAAAACATTTCTAGTTTCAGCAGGGAGGAAGGGAGATCCAATGAGCTGCTGTTTATCAAWTTAACCGTTATCAATTGTAAAGTGAAAGAAAAATTATTTTCTAGCCCTGTGATGGACTTGCGACCTTGTCCAGGGTGTACCCCGCCCCTCGCACTGTGACTGCTGGATCCCCGCAACCCTGAAAGGAATAAGTGGGTATAGATAATGAATGGATGGATGGATGGATGGATGGATGGATGGATGGATGGATGGATGGATGGATGGATGGATGGATGGATGGATGGATGGATGGATGGATGGATGGATGGATGGATGGATGGATGGATGGATGGATGGATGGATGGATGGATAATTTATAGCAACACTAAAATTGTTTTTGGTGTGCCACCCCAAAATTATCAGTGTGTGATGTCATACGTTTTGTCATTAAAGCAATGACAAAATTTGTGTTTTAGATGTGACCATCACACACAGATACAACCAGGGAGCAGTTGAGGATTAAGTGATTTGTTCAAGGACACCACAACATGGACATGTGGAACATGCAACTTTCTGATCTCAAGTCTGCCGCACTGCTCCACAGATGCCACTATCTCTTTCGAAACCTTTCTGGAAGCTRTAAAACTTTGGTGGTTTAACCTGCTGAGTGGAAATAAATAAAGATCATGGCTGTAAAACACATCCAGAGTTGACTCTGATCTGATCTGCCTGAGCTTGAAAATATTCCTGAACAGCAGCTGGCACAGGAAGCCAGCTGAGGTGAGTGATTATTGTGCTGTTTGACACAGATTAGGCCAGCTGACAGCAGGCAGAGTCACAGTGGATCAACAGAAACAGTTAATACTCAGGTGCAGTTTGGAGGGGAGCTCCACATCTGGGTTACAGGATTTATTTATTTTACACATTTTAATGTTTCAAAGCAGGATGCAGGACATGTATGGAATAATTAACTGCGTGTAACATCTGAATGCCATAATCAATTCTCACTSAAGTGATGACCTACCTTGATCAGGCTGCTGCGTCGAGGGATGGTGGCTTTGCGAGCAGAATCCGAGCCCCCCGCGTTCTCCCACGTCGGGGACTCGCAGCCGGACTCGTTCTGGACCCTCCTGACGGCGTCCGGCGCGCCGCAGTTTCCGTTCGACACGGGCTCTCCTCCCCGGTGCGTCTCCACGCTGCTCGCTCCCCCGGAGGAGGCGGCGGCGGCGGCTCCCCCGCACGCAGCTTTCCAGCCAGCAACCGGTGGGCCCGCGTCGCTCTTCTTCTTGGCCCCAAATTCAGCCATGGAGGAGACTCTTGTGGACTCTCATGAAAGGCGGCGGGGCTCCCGGAGCGGCGGCGGGGCTGAGCGAGGACGCAGGCGCGCCATCGTGTGTGAGGCGAACACCAACAAAAAGAGAGCACAGGAAACTTCTCTCTCTCTCTCTCTCTCTCTCTCTCTCTCTCTCTCTCTCTCTCTCTCTCAACACACAGAGAGAGAGACACACAGAAGGAGGAGGCGACAGCTGCGCGATTGAGATGACCGACACACCTCCCAGCTCTGCACCGCCACAGCTGGATGTGCGCCTGCGTTCTGCGCCTCTCTGTTGCTGCGGACTGAAAAAAATAATAATAAAAATAAAGGCCCAGCTGTGTAAAACATGAGGACCCCCCACCCCCCCAACCCCTTGGCTGTTTGTCACTGCCAGACTTCATCCGGATGGTGTCTGAGAGGCAGGAANATTTTGTTTTGTTTTAATTAAATGAAAAAAATTATAATAAAAATAGAAAATTTATCCTCAACATATTCTATAAGCACTAAAACATCTTACACGATCTGTTGCACATTTTGCAGAACCCCAACCCCTTGGCTGTTTGTCACTGCCAGACTTCATCCGGATGGTGTCTGAGAGGCAGGAAGCTATGAAGTCATCTTCTGTCCCCCAGTGTCTTTGAATCTGCGCAAAGAGTTGGTTTCTCTTTCACAAAGGCCAAACATTCTGAGCTATATTGATATAACTTTGTGAAAGTTTCATTAGAAGGCTTTCCATTTCAGGAGATATTTTGCTAACAGGCAGCCAGGGCTGACTTCAGCAATTAATGCTAAAGTTTAATGCAAAAATATTGAAAATTCTCAAATTCTGTTAGCTGCGTGCATAAGGGTTTTTATTGCATATGTCAGCAATTGAACTCAGATGCCAAATACGCTTTGATTGAACTGATGCAGAGAAAAATCAGCAAATATTCTGAATATAAAAATGATCACGCGGGCTGTGTCACTCAGATCAACACCAGTCAGTTTACACCCTGGTTTTGTCCTCATCCAGCAGTCCATCATTGTGCTTCATGCTCTGACAGCTTCTCCTCTGCATCTCCTCCAGTTTCATTTATGGCTTTGCATTTCTGCTGCCATGACAGCTTTTTGTTTTTGTATTGTGTTTATTGTGTGAATGCTCAAACTTTGTGATCCAGTTCTCGGCACCTGTCTTGTTCCACAATTTCTGATGCTGTTTCAACAATTTGTAGGCCTATAAATTTCAGCTCCTTCAGGACATTCCGGCCATGACTTTTTAGTTTACATTTTAAGATATTCATCTTTTGCACATTTTGTGTATCAAAAATGAATGGAGTTAAAATCTTTAGTTAAATCTTTCCTGCACTTTACACCTTTTGTACTAGATCTTTTATGTTTTTTGTACACATTTGTGCTCATTTTAGCTTCCGCAGCTTCAGTTTTGCTAATATCAGTATTTTTTCCATCACAGTTACTCTGTTAATTACATTTTTGTATCAGCTTCTTTCTGCTAATTTAAGCTCTTTATACTTTTTTCAGCTGTTTTCTGCAATTTAAACTACATTTTAATATTTGAATTCAATTCAATTCAGTCTGTCTTACAGTGGATCTGAAAAAGGCTTGAAGACACCCTGTTGTAGTATGACAGAGGGTGCTTATCCATTTTCAGTTAAATTCACCCTTTGTGATAATTTTAGTTACTTGTCGGCTGCTTTTGTATATATCCAGGCCTGTGCAGCTACTTTTTGCTACTTTTCTTGCTATTTTAAACCTTTTCGGAAATTTTATGACAAATCATTTTGTGCAGCTTTTCTTTCTTTTTCTTTTTTTCCTGAAAAACTCTTTCAGCATTCAGCATTCATACTGCAATTTTTCACTGAAAATGCATATTCTCTTGTTATTATTAAACTTTTTGATTGATTCGCTCAAGTTCCTCAACTTCATCTGCATTTTAGGGTCATTAACTTTACCTGCTTCTCCTTTCTGGGTTGCAGGGAGGTGGTGGTCCTGCYGTCACTGCGTGATGGGGAGACTTTTGACAGTTTGCAAGTCCATCACATGAACATAAAGGCACATGAGACACAAAAACATTCACACTCTCACACACAGGGATGATTTAGTCACCAATGGATCTAACATGTATGTGTTTGGTCTGTGGGAGGAAACTTGAGCCCTAAGAGAAAACCCACCCATGCATATGAAGAACATTCTCATGAGGCAAGCCTGAGACCTTCTTGTTTTTAACTCCTGTGATGCCTTTGAAATGGCAACTAACAATGTACACAAAGTGCAGGTTCACTACATGTGATCCTGTTTTTTTAAAACTGCACAGAGACCACCTCAATGTTTGCTGCACACAAGTAGACTTTTTAAATCCTAGTTTGAAACAGGTTTGCATTTGCTGCCATCTAGTGTTCGTCTCCTGTGTTTGAGTGATGAAATGACATAATCAGTTAATGAGGGATGTAAATACATCTTTTAAGAGTTGGGATTATATAAGTATTGTCAAGGCCTAAATCCTAATCCACCAACCTTCCTGAAAACAAACAAAAACAAAAGTGCAAAACATGAAAACAACTATAAAAATGCTTTCTTTTAATGCCTTTAGTCTTAAATCTGCACAGACAAAAGAATTTATTATTTAAATTATTTGATTTATGAAATGTAAACTGCTTAAGAATTTCAATGTAAGAAAACACTAATGTACACATACATTTAGGAAATACATTTTACATGCATGTGAAGTTATACCTAAAAATTCTACTAGTGCATCACACGTATGTTTTTTTTTTCTTTCTGCTCTCGGAGGAGTAAGACGCTATTTCCCTCTCTYCTGCCTTCCCTCATCTTCCCTGCTGTGCTRCTCAGAGCCTCCTCTACGTTTTTCATCCAAAACYAAAAATTATGGATTTATTTGAATGGATTTGGTTAGCTGGTCTCTYAATTAATTTTTGGAACAAATTTTTTTCCATGGGAGGACATGTCAAAGGTGGGACCTCTGTTCTGGATATACAGTATATTTGGATTCTGATCACTGGATTCTACAGATTAGCTTGGTGGTCTCCTGGTGTTCTACAAAACAATGTCGGTGGCTTTTCAGGCCATTTCCTGGCTGCGTGACCAATATGAAGGATTGCCGTCCTTTCAGCACTCAGACTTTTGCCTTGAGCGAGCTGGACTCGACTCGGCGGGATTGTCCACACTATTTGTCTGATTGGCGTCGCCACTTTGAGATGTACCAGCGACATTAAGGCAGATGGAATATTGTTATTGTCTGCCTGACTAAAAACATTTTCTTCTGTTCCCAAACAACTGATTATGAATTGTCTCTCTCCCACATGGCCTTGAATAGCTGTGGATCTCATTTCTCCTGGTGTTTACGTTGACTTGGCGTGATCCCCATCCTCACTCCCGTCTGTAATCTGATCCCCTGAAGGCCAATCTGGAGTTGCACAGAATGAACAGTTAACACCAGTATTCTGAACTTTGGCCAAACTATGGGTTTTTTCTTTTGGGGGACTAGATTCTTCAGACTCATTCTTCAGATATTCACACAAGCCTACAACATTCATGGTTTCAGATACACACCCTGTAAACTCACTACTACTACTCTGGCTAATACATTCTTGCTCTGCAGAGGTTTTTTTCTATAAACACCATAGTCTGTCATATTTCATTGATGTGATATGATGTTTTTTTCCTCATCTATCCTTGTGTGGTATTTTCATTTTTCTTTTTAAAAGTAGCACGACCCCTGCTGGTTGCCACAAGACCAATTGTGTGACCAATTGGTAATAAGTTTAAGATTTTAATAAACAGATTTGAAAATTTGTCTGTAAGTACCTGTACCTGTTCTCAATGAAAACCTTTTTTTGATTATGTATGTATTGATTTTTAGAAGTGTTAAGTAAATTTTATTATTGTTTTTATGCTACTTTGTTGTAGTGGATGTAACAGGTCTCTCTTGTAAATGAGACAATGAGTCTCAAGAGATCTTCCTGTATAAATAAAGGATAAATAAAAAAATAAATAAATGACCTGATCACCTGTTTCCCCATGTTTGTCATGTGTGTCTCTTGAATGGGTGTTCTTAAATGTAATGTCATTGTGCTCTGTACAATGACAACAAAGGCATCATCAAATCAAACCAAGTTATGAAAAAAAAATTACCTTTTGGCTTCTACAATAATTTAACAAAATAACAGCAGCTCAAAATGAACTGGCTCACTGTTAATCATCCAGCTGGCAGAGGGACGCCACCCCTCGGTTGATCCAGTGTTTCTGTGACTTGTCAGAGGGCAGCTCGATGGACAGGATGTAGTTGGCCAAGTGGCCTGTGGTGGACAGCGTACCTTGACRAGCACTGGTTTTGTAAACGGGACAAATGTAGATGTTATCATGTTTGAACTTGGCCATCTCTCCGGGTTTGAGCTTGATGATGGACAGGGAGTCGAACAGGATCTTAGGKAAGGACTCTGCCTGTCCCAACGTGCCCCTTCCATGAAGAGACCATGAACGTACGCCCCGTCCTCAGGCTTCTCCTCCATGTGGGCCTCCTCATTGGTTACCTGAAAAGCAGTCAGAAGGATATGAATATCCCTAATGTACTGAGAATAAACATGTCAAAAAGCTTTGGGATCAAATGAACACCTCAAATTCAAAACATATGTAGTCAATCGGGATGCTGTACTTCCTGGCAAAGTTCTGAGACACTCCGGTAAGAAATGACTGGATCGAATAAAAGCCAGAAAGCCAGAYGACTGGAGCTTGGCCGTCATTTATCCACTCCTGTTCAGATCAACAAATTAAAATATAAAGATTATTTAAAATAGATCTTTTAATAGTTTTCAAAACAATAACCTTAGATTGAGCAAGCTGTACAGAAAGTTACTGAAGTATTTGGCATGTAAGACATTCACTCTGAAGTCACATTCCAAATATCCTCAAGGTCTCCTCAGACTATATGACCCAAAGAGAGCATAAATCTTACCAGAGGAACTGTAGTCTGCTTAACAGATCAGTCACGTAGCTCCCRAACGGTTTGAGTGAAGGCTACGACTAGGCTGCCCACAGTGAGGGCACCTTTCCCACCAGCGTGCTGTTAAAAATGCCCTCYAGCTCAGAGTACATGACGATCTGTCCTTTCAAAGCTTTGCAAATGTTTACCAGGCTTAGGCGCACCACTTCTGAAAGTCTACTGAGAGAGAAGACACCAGTTAATTCCAGCAGATTCTATACGGTGAAAGATTGTTTTATTACCTGCTGAAGCGGATGACTTCCTGTCTCAGCACCGTGTTCATAGACTCCTCACACAGGACTGGATCCATCAYCATTTGTGTGTCAAAGTCTGCTGGAAGCTTGGACAAAATATCCTCTGCAAGTTCCTCCACCACTTCCTACAAGACAAAAAAAATTTAAAAAAGAAAGAAAAATCTGCAGATAACTTTGTATTAATAATTTTGTTGTTTGTTACACTTTATACAGAGTTTCAGTGCACAGCCTATCTAAACATGCTCTGCCAGGTAGATTACTCTTTCTTTTCATTCTCACTTCTGATACATGATTTGCACCCCTCTATTTGAATTAGTCTTACAGTTGTTGTCAAGGAAAAAAAACTCAGTCTAGAATGTTATAATGTGTCTGATTTCCTCCCTCCTGACATACAGTAGATAATAATAGTGGCCAAATTATTTTTTTTTAATTATTTAGTTTCTCCTACTTTACATCATTTGCTTACCTTTTACTAAAAGAGCTTATTTCTTAGTACTGACATACATCATAATCTGTAAGACTTTTCTTGGACACAAATGTCCTTTTATCAATTTAACATGCCAAAATATTTAAAGTGAAAGTTTGAGATTTTTTCATGCAACAAACCTGAAAGTGAAAGTAGTCAAACTGAATTTTCAATAAACCAAAATACAGTTTCTAAGCAAATTAATTAAATCCCAAATTAATCCCTACCCGTTTCACCCGTGGGCGGATCAATGTGAGGGCCGTGATGGGTGGGGACAGAGAACTGACTCTGGTGATTTGTGCTTTTGGTTGACAACAACTTATTCGGACTCTGGAGGTCTTTGATTGGTTCCAACACGGAGTACTAACCTGGAATGTCACCGGCTCTGCTGAACCCCACCCCATACCATGTGTTTGACCCCCACCCCCCTCCCCTAGCTCCTTGCACTATATGCGAGTGGTTTTTTTGAGCGCATGTTTCTGTGTTTCTGTGCAAAACATAGGATCAGAGCTCTTTTTTTAACTCACCTTTCCTATTTTGTGTATTCCAAGCTGCTGCAAAAGGTAGCGCACCGTAGTGCGAAAGACCTTGGACATTCATTCCCCCATGTTTGTTATTTGTGTGTTTCTCCGGACGGATGTTCTAAAATGCAAATTTCGTTCTGCATTGCATCTTGATGTTGTGTGTGAATGACAATAAATGATTCTGAAATTAATTCAAATTTAAAACTTTAAATTCAGTTTCAAATCATTAAATTCAGTTTCAATTTAGAGAAATTCATTTTCAAACAAATGCATTCAATTTCAAACTAGAGGATTGCATTTCCTGCAAAAATACTAGTGTGCCTGGCCATTGCCGTCCTACGCAGTTCCGCTCAATTCTACAACCCCTGGCAAAAAGTATGGAATCACCAGTCTTGGATGAGCACTCATTCAGACATTGCATTCTGTAAAACAAACTCAGATCAAAAACATGATACAATATTAAGGTCTTTCCAAAGTGCAACTTGTTGACTTTCAGGAACACTCAAAGAAATGAAGAGAAAACACTGTGGAAGTCAGTGAATGTTACTTTTATTGACCAAGCACAGGGAAAAAAATATGGAATCACTCAATTCTGAGGAAAAAGTATGGAATCACTCAAACTGGAGGCAGAAAATAAGGACACACCCTGTCAATTTCCTTTCCCTAAATGGACACCTGCCTCAGATTAGATCTGCTCATTAGTCTGCAGTTAAAAACACCTGCAGTCATGACACCTTGGAGGGCTGCTGGACGAAGTGGAGAACAAGAACCATGGCTCCAACAAGAGAAATGTCTCTTGAAACAAAAGAGAGGATTGTGAAACTTCTTGAAGAAGGCTGAAGGTTTTTACTCTTGGCAACTTCTCAGCGTTTTTGATTATTACCATGAAGGCCCTGTGAATGACCTCCCAACGCTCCTGAAGGCTGCAAAAAAAAAACTCTATGCGAGGCTTGGCCACTCGTAGCTTCAACAGCAGAACTTGGGTCTAAACGTATCTCATCTTATCCAACACCTCTCCAAAGTCATTCTCCTCCTGATAAAGACGTTTGTTTCACAAWATATAAAAAGTGAATTCTGAGAGATGATGACAAAAAAATAAAAAATAAAATCCAAACCTTGTGTGCCATAAAGAGCTGTAACAGGTCCTGTAACAATTCAATGACCAGGCTTCGGTGATACAGTGACATGAGTGCAGCCACACAGTCAAAAAACTGCTGGGCAGACACCCAATCACTGCCGTGCATGAAGGGCAGCCACTTAAGCTCGTTGGTGTCCAAAAGTGATGCACACCATGGCAGCCACCTTAAAGARGAAGCAGGTCCCAAAGAACACATTTAGGCACACATATGAACTAAGTGATGTTTGTACAAGAACAAAAATGGTTTTGGGGTAATTTTGKATTTTCCAGGYACATAGTTCAATTCTACAMCACAATCAAGTAACTACATTGATATCACATAGCCTATCTCAACACCTTTGTCTCTTAAAGWACCTCCTAYTGTTTCGGACRCTCCCACTTTAGYATGGATTCACAACAAAGCTGCAGGGTGAGGGGGTGCTCAGTGGGGCGGGAGCTCGGCTGCAGACCGAGCTCCGGGGAGGAGTTTGTGTAAATGGGCGGTGCTTTGTACCAGCAAACATTTAGGCAGCTACAAAAGACTTCCAGAGGAGATTCAAGGATTTATCAAACATGCATTTTAAATAACTTATTCCAATTTCTGATCATTTTATTCAACAGTAAAGCTGTCTACATTGAAGATGGAATAAATGAATCACCTTTCGGACGTATGCATACTGTAATGCTACAGTTAGACACCTATATAAATCATAACAAAATTTTTATATGTCAGCATAAGTTGTCTAAAACATTATAGTGTGACAGGATCTAAAGCAACACTCTTGGTATGTTTTGATGGAAAAATATCATAACATAATGTAAATGTAGGGGTAACCCTGGTGAAATTTTCATTCCTATTTTTTGTCTTTGATTTGCTTATACACTTATAAGAAGAAAGTCATTTTAAAGG